CATGTCGCCTCTGTAACCCCATGTATGCTACGACCTACTCAATGCTCTCATGCTGGTAACTAGCTTAGGCTGCTGTGTAACAACCCGCCAAATCGCGGACTGAGACAAAGCTGATTTCTGATTTTTACCAATGGAATGTATGCCTTCCCACTTTCTGCTGAGTTCTGTGTGTGTGAGTGCTTGCTAGTCCGTGTGCCTGTCTGAGTGCTTGTCGGCTTGAGTGTGTGTGTGACCCGCAAGGGTGCTTGCTTGCTTGGATGGCCCATACGGCCGGTACTTACCTGTGGCCGTGACTTTGAGGGTTGCAGCGGGGAAAACACAAATAGCGGGGGTAGGCCCACGACAGCAGCAAGGAAAAAGACTCAAGTAGCAGGTAGGCCGGTACCACTCAACTAGCGGAAAATGTGTCAGGGACTGGAGGCCGAGCAGAGGAAAAAAGTTGGCATTTTAAGAGACCCAGTAGTTGTAGGCTAGGTCTAGGCAGGTACCATCCAACCAGTCTGAGTCTAGGGACTGTACGGCCAATATCAGAGTCTGCAATGATGTTTCCCTCCGAATGGGAGGAGGTACCGGTTGCTTGGAGGCCGCGCGGCCTAGGAAGTCACTTGCCAAGAGGTAAGCAGGCTGCTATATCTGCAGGGGGAGCGAAGTGCTCCTCCTCATTGTCGGTGTGCAAGTTCGGCGACACACTGTTTGGAGCGCTGGCTGGAGCGGCGCTGGCATCAGAGCAGCGCTGCTGGGGAGGAGCAAGGACAGGAGGAGGAAGAAGACCAGGACTAGGAGGGAGGAGCGCCCGAGATCATTACCTGGCTATGGAGGAGGCCATCTTCATAACCTTGGAGGGTGCTGCATCTGGAAGGGCCCGGTTGGGGTAGAGCTACACCAAGAAGCATCGAGGCAAAGTCAGGCATTGCGGCCTGAGCTAGAGCAGCCATATCCGCTTTGTGTTGTCCTTTGCACAGCAGGGCACTGCCCTGGTAGTCCTCCATAGCCTCGGCCTTGGAGGAAGGAGGAAGAAGGGTGGTCATGGCTATAATGGACCTCGTGATACCTGCAGTAGAAGAGGGATTCGGACCAGGGCTGGGCCCCGGATGGACCGGGGACCCCTACCCCATCCGCGGTCCTCCCGGTTGACCGGCCAGTGGCCCGGGCCGGTTCCCTCCCCGGTGCCCCCAGCGCATTTTTGCTGGGGCCTGAATTTTTTTTTTTGCCGGCGCGTACATGCTCCCAAGGCCTTGTGGGGGTGGGCCCTGCCCCGCAATTTCAAAACCAGGTCCTGTAGGCCCGGGTTTTTCACGTCCAAAAAGTGGCCAATCTTGGCCCTCGATCGTCGTAGATCAGCGGCAAAGATCGGCCAGGACCCCATTTCTGAAGAAAAACGGGCAGAGGATATCCACCGCTGATCTTTGCAGATCAGCAGTGGAGAACCGCCACACATTTTTCTTAAGATGTGGGTCGGGTAGGCCCCTTCTCCAATTTGTCATCTTGTGGTCCAACGGACCAGTTACCATTGGCAACATCTGATGCTCTTTCACCCTCCGCCACGAGGGGAACACTATGCTTGTGATGAGGCTCTGCTGAGATTATATCCTTCTGCAACGTCCCTGCCATCTATGGAAACATCTGTGGAAAAGGTTATGGGTTCGGATTTTGGAATCGTGACGTCAGAGCCGTCCGAGGTGCAAGCCCAAGAATGGACCTAAGCTATATTCTTCTCTCGATCTATCTCGAATGGACCTTGCTCCACTATCTGGACAGACTGCCAGGCAAGATACTTCCGGACTGATAACTCACCTTATGTAGAAACCAACAAACAGAAAACGCTCTGCCTCCACGAGCTGAAAGCTGGAACCATAACTCTTCTGCTGTCGAGTTATACTCTGGAAGAGCTATAACTTCTGGCAAGGACCTCCTCTCATCATATCTGGTTCAGCTCGTGGGGTATCAACATCAAATGACACACTCCACGAAGTGCTCCAGCCACGGGGGGGTTGGATAAGTGAACTTGCTTACTTGACACCTCCCCGTGGAAGCCATAGTTGCCTGAATATGTCAATAATAACCCCCTGGCCCCCTCTGGAAGCCCCCTGAAAAATATTGCACCTTGAAAATTTTATTGCGGATTCCGACAGCTCTTGAAGAGCGCAGTCGGAATCTGCCGGAAAAAAAAAAGAAAAAAAGTGCCCACTTTTTTTTCAAAACCGGTTTCCCGGTTCACCCCCCTGGACTGGTCCGGCTCCGGTTGGACCGGGATAGCTCAACCGGCCGGTTGCCGGCCCAGCACTGATTCGGACATTGATTCTGGTTCAGCCATTCAACATTATTATTATTTTTTCTTGTTTGAATAAGAGGGGCGGAGATGAGGAGGAGGAGAGGCGTTGGTGAAGAAGAAGGGAATTCTCATTGGTCTTTGCTGGTGTACATCATCATCTTCTTCTTCTTCTTCTTCTTCTTCTTCTTCTTCTTCTTCTTTCTTTCATCTTCTTCTTCTTCTTCTTCTTCTTCTTCTTTCTTTCATCTTCTTCTTCGTCTTTCCCCCTCTCTCCTCTCAAGTTCATTCATTTCTTTTTGCAATTCGTTGGCATTGTACTTTCTCATGAATGTGTACTTCGAAATTGGCCAGGATCATAACAGCTGACTATTTCTGCCTGTCAAAGCTATAATCTTAACATAAAGTCAGAGCAGTTTAACAGGTTATAACATTTTTAAAGGAAAAAAAGGGAGAAAAAAAAAGAGGCAAGGTTAGAGGGCTTATGACGGGTTTAAACGTTTAAGATTAACACGCACAGGCCGTCCCCGCAGAGAGAAGGCTGCCACAGACACAGGGGGGCTGCAGACACCTGGAAGTAGTCTGGGACTACCGTCTTCACCCAAAAATAGCGCCCGGGCGTTGTGTACGAATATAACGCCCAACAGCCGTTATATTCGTTTATAACGCCCGGGCGTTATAATCAGTAAATTTGTGGTAACTTCGGTGAGGCCCCAAAATTCCGAAAGAAACAAAAAAATCAAAAAATTCTGTAAAAAAAAATTATGTTGTCCAGGATCGGAATGAGACCAACTTTTGGCTGAGGGTCACTTCAGAATTCCTTATAAACTCGGAAATAAAAAATAAAAACGAAAACTAAAGCCAAAAATATACACCTTCAAGTTGGAAGTCAAAACCCCATTCAACCCTCTTCAAAACCCATGTATACCCCCTTCCCCGCCCTTTTAAACCCATGTATACTACCTCTTCAAGGCACTCTGCCCATGGAACGTTCAAATATAACGCCCGGGTGTACTATTCGCATATAACACCCGGGCGTTCTATTTGAAAGGGGTGTTCTATTTGAAAAAATGGGAGTAAAAACGAAAATCTTTTTAGAGTAAGTTGAATATAACGCCCAGGCGTTATTTTCGGGTGAAGACGGTAGCGGGGCTAGCGGGCTACAGGGAGATCTAGGGAAAGGAAGAAGAGCAGACAACTTCCAGGTGAGGGCTGGGCTAGATGATTAGGAGGCCCAGAAAGGGAATGGGTCTATCAGCAGCTCCACGGGATTGAGGGTGCTCCAGAGTACCTGATTGATGTATCCAAGGGACGCTGGATGCGGTTTCCAGCAGGTGCCGCTCCCCACCAATAGATGAAGCAACCCAACAGCCAAAGCCTCAATCCTGGTGGTTCTCTTACCACCGCCGGGATAGAGGCCTTGCTAGAGGAGGACCTTCAAAAAAAAAAAAAAAAAAAAAAAAAAAAAAAA